AATCAAATAAATGCAGGCTTGGTGAGCAGAAGAGACTTCTTTATAAAACATTAAAAATCTTACTGTTCAAAAACTGATGACTGGCAGGTTATAGATTACAGAAATGTTATATTGTAATGCTATATATATATATATAAACATTTCTGTCCCCCTCACTTCTGAAATCATGGCTACGCCCCTGACTACTGTAATATTATTACTTTTTTAATGCGTTACTCCCAACACTGTCCACTGGATAGGTGAGTGTTGGCGGTGGAGTTTTTGCAAGCGTGGTGACCTCCCTATTGTAAGACTGAGACATCAAACAACAAGCGATTCTCTGCTCAGAAGAGTGCTCTGTTCAAATAAAGGACAGAAGAGTGAGCAGAACGAGCAAGCCAAGCCAGCTTTGTTTGTGCAGATTAGTCTTGTCTAGCAGTGAGAGTGGCAGAGAGTCGGCAGGTGAAGCGTTGCCAGTGATTATTTTGGAATTATTAGGACCAGACATGTATGTTACATTATACTGAAATAACACACAAAAAAATTAAATGAAATAAAGTCAAAACCTGAAAAGCTACATGATGCTCCAAGTTGCACTTGTAGCATTTGGACCAATCAGACACACAACTATTTGTTATATCTAACAAATAATATCTAACACCCCCTCACCTAAACAAAGGGCCAATTACGAGGGTCTATGGACCATTCCCCCGAAATGCATCTAACACCTCCGAAAGGCAGAACAGCCAATTACGAGGGTCTATGGACCCTTCCCCCGAAATGCATCTAACACCTCCGAAAGGCAGAACAGGCCTCTGGTTCCTTGGCAACCAATGCTGATATCACTGGTTTTATTGGCCAAAGCAATGCGGGCAGAGAAACTCACTCATTTTCCTCATAGGAAAGACACATAATGCCCAGAGAAATGGACTGTTCTCTAATTAATTCATTGAAAAACCTTTCTTTGAATGAACTCGCATATCCTTCAGGTCATTGTGTATGTTGTTACTGTCCTTGTATATTGTCTTTTATATTGTATACTGTTTTATGCAGGCTTATGATACAACCACTCGTTGTTGTCATCTTACCTATATGTAATCCTACCATGTTTAGTATCTATGAATTCGTCTTCTGATGATCTAAACGAGAGTGTATATTATATGTTGGTACATAGGCAATATATTAGTGTTCTAAGAATCTTTAGTAATTTTGATTCAAGTTCCATATGCAAATTACCATGCT